TTCCAACTTCTCTCAGACTTCTGTGACATTACTAGCCATCGTTCAGATGACTGAGAGCCGTTCGCATTCAATCATTCTTCAATCGGACGATTGAGTCTCTGTCATCCGTACCTCAGCCTCAGCTGATCAGCCAAATTCTATGGGACTGCTATCAGGCTACCGGGATGTTAGCGGCCTAGGCTCCGTCGATCCAAAGCACTTCCTCCCTCACCTTGATATCCTGCTGAACTTGTTCGCCCTATGTTGATATAACCACTTCTATTTCTGACCAGTCCAATCCTACTGAGTCCACTTACCTTCCCAAATGAACCATAGGACCCAGTCACAATGTGCCGACCAAATCCAACCTCGGCAGATCGGTCTTCTTCTCTCCTACTTCTGCGACGCCGCCTGCCATGCTCGGAAGACTGAATGCTCTGTCACCACTACCACGCATTTCTTATCTGTAAACGTAAACTCTCGACTCCGTCATCATCGCGGCCTGTTTATTTCTTCTTCATCCGCATAGCGAGCTCTCAGAGCCCAGCCCTATTATCTTCTCTGACTGATTCCCAACTCGCGAAATGTAGTTTAAGGCTCTGTATCACCAACACACAACTTCTCTCGCTTTGCTAGCCTGCCTGTCTTGCATACCTTATATTCATGTAGCCTCCTGCATCCCAAACCTATCCGTCTCTGCTGACTCTTTATTTATCTTCCCACCTTAACTGTTCGACTTACTCTCAATGTGCCGACTAATCCAGTCTCGTCTGATCGGTCCCCTGCTCTCCGAATTCATTCAGACTGCTGTGATGTTACCGGCATTTGATGAGAATTCCGAATGCTCTGCCTCCATTACCTCTCGAGCCCCCTGGAGTTTTCCACACCTTAAAAGTAAACCTCTCTCTATCCGGACCGTCTCCTCTCTTTATGGAGTTCTCTACTTTCATTTCTTCTCTAATCGGTCTGCCTACTCACAGTGCCCTGTAATAATTTAGTCTTATCTGACCGGTCTGCTCCTTTGACCTTTTCGAGACTAGCAAGTTATACCGATCTAATCTCTGTAGACTCAAAACTATGTCTTGCTTACATTGACAACCCGCTAGACTTGTTTACCCTTTATTAATATAGGCACTTCCATCAGTAACCTGTACCCTCAAACCTTCAATCAGAGGACCGACGCTTAGTGCCATGTTCTTCTTTGTCATCATCAGATCAGTGAAAGTCTCAGGGACTACTACGAGGCCTAGGATGTGTCGGCTATTCAAGTCTCGTCTGTTCGGTCTCCGGCTCTCAGAGTTCTCTCAGACTACCGGGATATCACCGGTGATTTTTCAGAACTGATCGATTCATACTTCGCACGAGAGCGTCCTTGGCTTCACCAAACTTTAGTAATAAACCTTTCTCAGCCTGACTATCGTCTCCTAATTGCTCTCACGAGTTACTCTTCGCACTGCCGTCCGCATTCTTCCGCTCATAGCTGATTCTTTAAATTTCCTTTTCTTCTTGGAACGTTGCTTTACCTATGTTGCTCCCGCATTCCGTCTCAACCTAGTTGTCCTTACTTTCACCTAAGATGCCGCTCGCATTCGGTCTGCTATCATCATCATCATCGGTTTACCTGTTACTCTCCAACAATCATATTAATCGCTTAACTTTGTCAACACGCTTAGTTGTATCCGTCCCTTGACCCTGCGCGTGCAGATCCTTCGTTCTACCTAGTAGTTGTAGTCTGAGGCACTCCAGCGACGTGATGTAAAGAACGCGCTTGCAAATCATGTATACTAAACAAAATTACATAAATTTTAATGTATCATCGGCACCGTTGCGCGCCACCAGTCTGTGTTTGTGCTTCTTGCTTCATTGCTGTCTTTCTGTTTGGCTGCCTCTTGTCCGTTGCCCGTTTTCTCCCGAGATTTCCACAGATACATCCGCCAAAACATGAAGGTTTATCTACTGGGACTGGTCGACCCACCCTCAATAGCCAGCTGGTTTACATGCTTGATCTTTTCTCCGGGAGATGAAGAAACCACACATCGTTCCAAATGGAGCTCTTTCCGCCATTCTGGAGAAGCTATTACCACGGGGTCTAAACAGATGGGTTTAGCTCGCCTCGTACTCACAATAGAACAATTTACTCACCTGGAATAATGTAGTTACATGGATCCACTGTTCCACAACCGAAGACTGACAATTCTGGCGTGATTACTTTCAATGCCTCAAACATTCCGATTCTCCAATCACCTGGAGCTTTTCTGATGTCATTTCACGGACAGCATTGCGCGCTTATAAGCGGTTTTTCCGATGATCTTTCATGGAATTCTCACTTGGCCATGAAGACAATTACACTTACATTTGAAGGAATTACTAGTCCACTTTGCGGAGAATTGCATCTTTCATGGTATGGACATATTCAGACACAAGAAACAACTGCACTCACCGTCCCTATGACAAGTCCAGCATGGATAGCTGGACACGGGTTGCGTGCCGGACAATATAATAGAAAAATCCGGCCTCTATTAACAATGTGGTTACTCACCCGCATCATTATCATTCGACTGTGACTCTTTTACATCATTGACTGGCTTCAACGACAATTGCCGGTTCAGTACTAAGCCATTTGGCAAACCAAGGAAGAATTTTGGCTGTCAACCGACTGCGAATAATAGAGTGCAAATTCGGTCTATACGGTGCATAGCCGACTAGCACTACAGTTCAACGGAATCTACGACAGTGTTCCAGGACGTGGTGGGTTTTCGCCTGGCAAGCGTTCTCCCCATAAAAAGCCACAAATGTCCGCTTAACAACACTGTAACGTGGCGGATGTGACTCGCCACAAAATAAAGTCACAGCTATGCCTTTCACACTGACGCAGTCCTCAGCCTCCTACATCCAACCTGTGCAACTGATTTTACTATGAAGAATGCTTTAGTGGAGTACCGATCATCCCGGCTTCGTAATGGTCATTGGTTGCACTAAAACTTGTTTGGGCTCCTGTGCTCATGAATCACTTCATGGCAAATTTACCCCCCACTTTTATCTTGACGCAACAGTTTTTGCGCGCCACAGCGCCATCATGGTCCTTGATCTGACTATTATCTGACCATATGCTCGCTCATATGAACTACATCTTTTCGTTTATTCCTTTCATTGTACCGAAATGTTTTAATATTCTAATGATGCTATGCTTGTATGCATATTTGATCATGCCTTTCAGAGGTGTGTCTCATTTTACAGAGAATATACCATTTATTTATTTATTTATTTAACAGTTACAGTTACTGCCCTGGTGTATGCAAACGCGGATACAGCAGGCCCGGATTCTGACACCACCCGGAACGGTCCGTCCGGCAGTACACCGATGATAGTCGTGCGCTGATAATGCCTCATCACCCTTTCGCGAGCATATGCCGTCAACCTGTTTACAAGTTCTGATACCACAAATACCTTGCCAACTGCATTACTTCGCATGCACTCCCTCTCTACCTGAGTGCTATGACGATCATCCATACCTTTCGCACGATCGACGATCACCTCGAAAAGCGCCCGTAAGGAGGAACGCTCGCTCAAAGTCCGTTTAAGATGCATATTTTCATTCTTTACTAGATTAGTAGAATTGCATCCGAACATCATGACAAGCCGAATTGGTGCGCCGCCCAACTTCTCCACCATGGCATTCATGTTCCACGGAAATAATGAAAGCTGCCGAAAGGTTTCTAGAATTCCGTGATAGCGCATCTCCTCAGGCGTGAATATCAGGTTCCTCAGCAAACGGATCAGAAAAGCCTTTCCCGCTAGGTCCGCAAATGAGCTGTTTGCACCGTCTGTTTTTTCCCGTAACATGTGAACACGACACAAAACAATGCACGCCTCCGGATACACCTCCCTGAAAGCATTCATTTGTTGCGCGCATTTGTCTACCACAATGGTCCGCATGGGTGCCTTGCTAGGAACCATTGCACGTATACCTGTTACCGCATCCAAATAACTCTCCGTTGTCTCATTTAGTAACAAGGCGTAAAAAAGGACGTCCCACCACGTGACATCAACGAACATGCAATGCCATAGAATGTAGCCCCCGTAAATAACATGATGCGTCGAATCAGCCAGTATAACTTCGCCGTATCGTGCAACCAACCTCCGAATGCACGTAGGTACGAAGAACAGGAATCGCACCTCCAACCGCTCCCTCACAACCGTACATGAACCTCCGCTTTCCAGCATGGTGATTACATGTTCCACCCCACTAAATTGCTCCGCCTGACTCTGATGCCTCAGATGATATAAATCACGTCTGGTGATAAGGATGCCGTATTCCGTTAACGCAAAATTCCTGATTCCACGTGTCTGACGAAAAGACTTCATCAACTTTAATACCACCGCTTCTTGTACAGCATTAAGCCGCCGATTAGCAGGAGAAAGCCAAGGTTTCCCTAAATGGAACAAATGCGAATGCTTCAAGCAGGCGCGGCTAATCTCATAATACATGCCTTTCAGCACCACAGAAATTCGGGCCTTGCAGGTGTAGCACCTATAACTAATAGATTTAATAGCCGTCAAATTATCATGCACCTTAACGCTTCCCTTTCACATTCTTACGCTTGCTATGCACACATCGATATTGAATGAATCGATAACGATAACCAACAGGGAGATCTTTTCCAGTCTTTGCTTATAACCTGCCGCAGTAATCACCGTGCAACTATAAAGCGAACTTGCAGATTCTCTTTGGAACCGCATCAAATCACGTTGGAAATCCTAAATTGCCACGTAACCACCAGATATGATGCAACGAAAAGCTGCGGTATCATCCTGCATGGCGGACGACACGAAACACGCGAAAATGTACTAAGCTACATAGTTCATTTAAACAAACCATTTACACAGCATTCATCAACCTTGTTATATAGAAATTACCCTTAACTTGCCCTTGCCATTTACATGACCATACAACCTCTAAACTGCAAGAGCATGTTCACCCTGACTGTACCATGCATCCGTCACGGGCAACACTTTAATCGCTTAACGTTAGAAGGTCGCTCCGTGACCTGACTTGACCTGGCTTGGTATTTATTGCGCACTAGATTTTGCGGGATAACGGTACTGCGGTTATGTCGCAGCGTGTCAAAGTCCTTGGCGGCACATTCACTGCATGTCCTCTGACTTTAACCCAACTCTGAGGAGCTACTAGTAAGTTTGTTTGACACAAAAATCCTTTGCGAACACCATCCTGCGCAACTCTATGCAGGTTACATTTATTCAAAATGTTCTTCCCCGAATCCCTTCCTAATTTTTCGATTAATTTAACCACCAAGATTCAACTGACAGGCCTGTAATTAGCCGGTACATCTTCATTGTAATCAGTGTAATGTAGAGAGCAGAAGGAAAGACCTTTGTCAGCTCCATCACCTCCCAATCATAGCAGGTGTTGGCGTAACAGCAATTAACAAGTTAGATTGTCACAGTTACATAAGAAACAACAAGATCCCTTCAACAATCGTTTAAAACATTCCTCCGTATGCACGTTGACGACGGGCGGACAACAGCCTCCTTCCATTCGGTAGATAAGACACATCTGTTGAGTGACTTCTGAAACACACAAGTGAGAGGTCAACTGAGTTTCGCTGCCAATTCGTGCAGCAATGTTGGAGGAAGGGAATCAGGTCTGGAAGCCTTAGTTGGGTTCAGCTCTCTCAGCCACCGGAGAACTTGAGACTTGGTTACAGTAATTTCACCCACAAAGTCATCAGAGACTTGAAGCTAATTCTCTGCATGGCGTATCTTTCCCGGACAAAGACACTTGAGTACCGCTCACCAAGCACGCATGCCTTGTCATAGTCGCTATAGGTATTGGTCCCATCCCCTTGAAGCAAAGCTGAAATGGGCGAGTTTGCACCACATTGTCGCTTAACGTACTCGAAGAACTTCTTGGAATTTATCAAGGCAATATCAGCTAAGCCCTGCTCATACTGAAGCCGGGCCAATCTAAGATGTAGCTTGCGCTCATTTCGAACCAGCCGATACTTGTCAAATGTGCTGCTCGACGGAGCTGTTCGATAAGCTCGCCAGCATGTAGACCGTTTCTTTAGCAGGTCTTTCTTCGTGTAATCTATCCACGGAAGCTGCGCTCTCGATTCCCTTTTTTTCACCAGTGCGATGTGAATTGTCGAAATTTCGATGAGGCTACCCTTAAGTTTTTCCCAGGCTACGTGAACAGTTTCGGTCTCAAAAATTCACCTAGGGCGATGTTGTAGCTTTATCCAGCATTACCTGAATGTTCGCGGCCCAAATGTTCGGATACCAGACGCTACAAATTTTGCAAGCCTTGAAATGGGTACATTGAAAAGAAAAGCAGCGATCGTTGGCACCGAGGCGAGTCGTAAGTAATGTCATTTACAGAGTCGTTATTATATTATTATTTAACACTTGACCAATGTACAATTGGTAGTGTCACATCACATAGTTAACAACAACAAAAAGGGGGAAATAGGTAGTCAGTGAAAGAATTTGGTAAGTTTATAAGGCTGCGTTGTGTGGGCCGATATCCTCCCGGTTGCCCAGGCCTAGGAAGAGGGACCCCACCCTGAGCCTTTGGTCTTAAGACCTAACCCGCAAGACAGCGGGGCGATTAACGAAAACCGTTGACACCCGAATGACTCCTTCGCCTTCTTTGTGTCCCGTAGCAGTCCACAGAGAAGCCGGTGGCCAGCAAGGTTTTTCATCCACTCTCCGTTATGTACTCACCTCTGGTTACAGAAGTGAGTGGTCAGTGACCCTATAGCCGGTCACTTTGGCTTTGACACAGCGCCGTACGAGCGGTTGTGGTATTTGATGGAGAACCAGGTGACCAGCCCAGAACTCCCCACGCTCTGAAACCCTGCCGCTGATTGCCTGCGACTGCTTATTCCTCTCGCCTGCGAGGCAAACGAGACTTATTCACAGTTACCTCCACAAGGAAGGCATTCCTCAATCCGCAACTTGGGGACGCGCTCGATAGCGTACTGCTCCGCCACGGGTAAAGAGTCGTTGCCTAGCAAAAAAGGATTTTAGATGGACGGCTGCTGATTGCTCATGTACCTAGTGCGGAGGTCCACGAACTAGTGTAGTGGTGCCTACAACTTCAGGTCCTGCAGTTCTGCACCGAACGATACCAGCGCCGAATTTCAAGATAGATCTGCCCGATAAACTTCTGGGAGGTTGAAGTCTCCCAGCAGCAGACACTTGTTCGCAGAGTGAATACTTATAAACTAAATGATCCCATTGGAGGCGCTCACTAGGCTTCTATACACTAACACGACCGTAACCTGAACCGCGGAAGCGCACATCAAGACGGCGAGAGCCTCAAAAGATTTGTCGAGAGACTGACAAATGCTGGTCTTCAATACGTCAATGTGATAACTCACGTTAAAGCTACACCACTCCTTTTACGGTCAATGGAGCGATCGGCGCGGAACACTGCGTAGCCAGGCAGATATAGTTCGCCGTCTATGATTTATTCAGACAACTACGTTTCAGTGAAAGCAAGTATTTCTGAACGAGATTTGTCTACGAGCAGACCTATTTCGCACATTTTGTTCATCATGCTACGCACTTTAATAAGTACTACTTGAAGGACTTCGGCTCGACGAGCTCTGTGTCGTGCACATGTGAAATAGGTTCTGGCAGGGTGGGAAAGAGCCGCCGGCTGACAAGTGCGATACTTGTCATAGAGGGTTGCATGAGCTATGTATTGGTTTATTTCCAGCGCAGTACACACTTGTGGCATCGAATGAGTGTGCTTTATAGCTGCTTCGACTGGAGGGGTAGAACCCAACGGTGTCCTTGGGTAACAGGCGCTTTCTCAACACTAGTTTGCAGTTTAGATAACACGGCATTTCTATTGCCATTGCTGACTTCTCTAGATAGAAAAGTCGAAAAACCTGCAGCCAGCTTTTAGATCTAAAGGCCTCAGCTAAAGAGACTACTGTAGATTCTTGTAGTGCAGCAAACATTTCTACTATTACTGCAGGCACTGTAGGCACTGTTTGTGAAGACCCTTCAGATTGTGTTTTTGCTCCCCCCTTAGTGTAGTAGAAGTATATGCCCTTGCATCTACCATAAGAAAGCGAAAGATAGTGAAGAAAGTTACACCGTCTTCAACTACAGTAATCCCGACTGATGATTTGCAGTCAGTTTCTTTGACTACAACTCCCAATGTTTTGCCACCTCATGCATTGACTTGTGCATCTACTACGGACGTGCGCCTACCTGCCTCGGTGCCCCTAACGGTAAATACACCTCGTCGCAGCGACTAATCTACCGACTGTAGCCTTATATTTAGGGACGTATCTGAACCCACTGCTACTCTTCCGACGGAGCGTACCATAGAGGATCTCCAAGTATTTAGAGTCCGAGAGGGACTGTCAACAGACTCCTGACAATTGGACAACGCATTGCTAGGGGAGCGATTTCACAGGAATTAGAGCGAACTAAAGCACTAAGTAATTCCTCGTTGAAGATTATACGCCATATGTTGTAACAAAAATATGCATTGTAGTAAATCGATTACAAATTCTCAATAGTCCGCTGACAGTGAGAGGGGGACTGTCATTAGACTCCTGACAGTCCGAACGTGCTGGCATGGCAGATGGACGGTCAACCGTTCCATTCGGGTGTTTTTGCTCACTCGCAGATGCGGAAAGCAGATATGAAGATAAATGGCGCAGTATATCCAGATATGTTGTAACAGATTGCACATCTTTAGCACCGCCGTTCTTTACCTAACAGGCCATACTTTTAGTAAAGTTATTTCAGTCAGTGCGAGTGACTGTTTTGACACCCTGAGTGACCAATTTCGTACCCCTGGCAGTCCCATTTTGACACTTTTTGGACGACGTTTGGCCACTCAAAAGTACTTTCGGTTTTGCCTAACGGCCACGGTATTACGCAATTATAAGTTGGGAATCGATTTCCACTTAATGACGGTATATGCAACCGAAAAATTCATTCACGGTATATAATAAGAGTGCATTTGGAAAAACACTATGAGTGACCAAAACTCGTCCAGAAAGTGTCCACTTGGGGCGGTCACTCTAGCAGACACTTTCTGGTCACTTGTGCGGACGGGGCCGTATCCGATGCCATATCATAATGTAACCTGTATGCAAGAAGATGTGGAAAGTACGTTTTTCATGTATGTAAGCTGTGTATAGTTGATCAGGAGTCCATCCATACAGAATGTTGTATTGGAAATCCATCCACGGAAGCTATTCCTGGGAGATAGCATTGTGCACTTTAAACACGCGCTCACGTGTTGGCCCCTTAAATTCCGTCCCTCATTAACTTCTATGAACGAAATATTAGTACTACTTGATTTGCCAAAGGATAGCGGAAATTTGCTGCACACACCACGCGAACAGCTGACGATAGATGTGGATCCTGGCTACTATGGTCACGTCGGCGTGTTCACCGGCTTGTGTCAGCTATTCATACAGCAGGCACTGTCGCTACCGAAAGAAATACGCCTTCTATTGCACCTAAACGGCTTTTCTTCTCCAATCTTCCAGCATGCAATTGCTGTCCATGGTAGCGGTTGAACTGTTCGCTGAGCCGACAATTTTGTTGCAAACGTTTCGTCACCAAGACAGGTGACATCATCAGTGCGTTGTTGAGCAGCTTGTAGCGTAGCGTAGGATAGCCTCGATGATAGTGTGTCGGGCATATATATATATATATATATATATATATATATATATATATATATATATATATATATATATATATATATATATATAATGCAAAAGTCTACAAATAGACATAATGCCATCAGAAACCATGAGATTCAAACGAAGATACAGAAATTGTAAAATAAAACACAACACAACAATGTCCATGGTTTTTTCAGAGGGCGAGATACTACCCGATTGCCCAAGCCGAAGTAGGGTGTTGACTTAGGGGACAGCACTCCGAGCCTTTGGCTGAATAGCCTGTCCGCGAGGCAGCGGAGCGAATTCAGGGAATCGTGCCCATTGGGAGCCGGTGACTGATTGTTCAGTTCATACGCCTTTCGTTTGTTCCTTTGTCAAACAGGGGCCCAATTCTCCCCAGAAGTACAGCATGATGTTGCTGGAATACAATGTTTCGCCAGGATGAATCAAGGGGCAGTGACTTTATTTAATGGAGAGTAACGTCCGCCACGTCACTGTGTCGTT